ACCTAAGGGGATTCGACCTAAGGAGGCTAGAGCATACAACAAGTAAGGCGGAGAATTCTTCTACGAGTTTTTCACTTTCTTCTTCCGATTTTCGTTATTGGTTATGAATTCTAGTATTCTAGTTTTTGCACACTTTTATGAGTAGTTAATTTAGTTATCTAGGATTTTGATGGAACCTTTTGTAGGCTGAATTCTTGATATATATGGATAGATTGAGTTTTTGAATTTTTCTATTTGTTCAAGTACATGGTTATTTTAGTTAATTGAAGAGCTCTCAATTAACGGTGCCTATTTATTATGTATTGCTTGAAAAAGAGTACATATTTAGGTGGTTGTTGAACAATGTCACTCCTAATGTATATGAGAAATTAATACGACGGGTTTAAAAGAGAGATTAGAGATAATGAAGCTTTGACGTGATCATAGTGAGTGATGAAAAAGTACGAGCTAGCATAATTCGAGAGAATATGGTTAGTACATTATTGTAGTTGCTCGAGAGAGAATTATGATGAGTCATGTAACGACCCGACCGGTCGTTTTGAGCTTTTGCACTTTGATCGCCAGTTCCCGGGCATGACTTGCCCCGTGTAATGTATTATGACTGATGCAGATCGTTGGTTTTGGTTTTCAGGAAAAATTGGGAATGAATTTGAAAGAACAGTTTCAGTTGAAAGCTTTGGATTTGAAAGGTTTGACCAAGAGTTGACTTATTTGTATACGAGCTCGGATCAGAGTTTTTATGATTTGGTTAACTTTGTTAGATGATTTATGACTTAGGAGTGTGATCAGAATTGGTTTTGGAAGTCCGGTGTAGAATTAGGATTGAATTGGCAAAGTTGTATTTTGGCGATTTCCGGTTGATAGGTGAGATTTTGATCCAAGGGTCGGAATGGAAATCCGAGAGTTGCAGTAGCTTCGTTAGGTGATTTGGGATGTGTGTGCAAAATTTCAGGTTATTCAGAGGTGTTTTGGTTGGGGTTTTGATCGAATGCGTGTTTCGGAAGTTTTAGAAGAACTTAGGCTTGAATCCGATGTAATTTGATGGTTTTGGTGTTGTTTGAGGTATTTTAATGATTGGAACAAGTTTGAATGATGTTATAGGATGCGTTGCTGCTTTTGGTTGAGGTCCCGGGGGCCTCGGGTGAGTTTCGGGTGGTCAACCGGACCATTTCCTAAGTTAAAAAGCTGCAGATTTCTCATTTCAGGTGTTGCAGAGAATTTAC